TGCCATGCAGCATGGCTTGCAGGATCTCAGTTCCCCGACCAGGGATTGAACCTGTGCCCCCTGCAGTGGAAGCGCAGAGTCTTAACCACTGGACCCCCAGGGAAGTCCCACTGGACATTAACATTCAAGTGAGTGCTTCCTTCACCATTTCCTAGTGTCTCTTTAAGACGTGGCCCCATCCTGCCATGCCCCAATTGCGCCAAACCCTTCCGACTGTCCACGTGCCCACCACGCACCCAGCTCAGACTGCATATAAGACAGCGTTATCAAGGGCTCCCACCTCTCCCAAGGCAGGCAGAGATTGCTTGAGCAGGAGGTTCTGGGGGCCACGGTGGCTCCTGGGGCCTCACTCTGTACCCATCACTGTAGCTCGTCTCTCTGATGCCGGTTTGGTTAAAGGGAAGATGAGCATTCTCCCTAAAAAACTGTATTACAGTCGGTCGTTCCTGAGACTGCAAAGACATTATTCTTTAGGCGATTATCTTCTAAGGTGATCTTATAAAGATGTAAAATCACAGGTCTCCAGTGCAGAAAACCTTTTAAATGTCTTGACATTTCCATCCTAGGTGACAGGTGGTGGATGTGCATTGAAGTGCTCTGGGGACGTGACCTGTAAGTAGTGAGGGGTGCAGGGTGGGCTAGAGGGTAGCTGAGCCACGACACAGTCGTCAGAGGAACCAGCCAATTCCCCGAGGCACTCTGACATGGAGACGGCCCTTCAGATACCCCAACTGGGGCAAGGCGGCTGGGCCTCTTGTACCCCTCACTGGCTGTGTGTGGTATATAACCTTGGGTGAGGCAGCTCCCTTTTAAGGGCAATTCCTGGGGAGAGGGGCTCAGATGGGGCCGGGGTCCGGGCACTGCACAGTATTCACTAACCCCCACCGCCCTCAGTCTGCTACTAATGAGACCACAGTTATTTTAAATTATTTATTTTTTCTACAGTACATCTCATTCAAATCATGGAACAGTCTGATACATTTTTTTCCTCAAGCACAACTTAAACTCATTTCAAATGCTTATTCTTTCTTTCCTTCTTTTAATCTTTCAGGATGGACAGACACTCACACTGTAATTGCCAAAAAGACCCACTCAGAGTTTATTAAAAATACAGCTTCCCAGGCTCCCCCCCCCACCCGCCACCAGAGCTTTTGAGGGAGCGTCTGGGGTGGGTCCTAGGGAGGCAAAATTTAAAAACTCCCCCCATCAATTCTGCTGTGGGTGGTCCTTGAACCATCCTTACAGGAACACAGATTAGCACTTGTCCATTACCTATTGGAAGCAATTTCAGAAAACCCAGGAATAATTAAGTATACAGAAATAGCTCTTCTATAAAATTTCCATATAAAAATAATGGTATTTATTTACAAAGTTTGAGAATGCTACAAAATAATAATCAGGTTAGATACTTCAATCTAATAAAGTCTACATTAGGCAGGTCAGATGTGGTGTTTGCATTTTCCCCTTATTTCTCGTTTAAACTGCTTAAAGCATGTGGCACCATGATGTTTCCTTCATGCAGAAAAAAGCAGAACTATATTTTCTGGAAATAAAACCTATCAGCACAGGATCAGAGTACGACATCTACAAATGAACAGGTGAACCAGCTGGGGATTTGGGCTCATGGCCTTTCTTTTTTGTCTAACAGTCAGGGTGGTGATGGCAAGCAGCCGCCTCGGAGACCTCACAGTACTGAACGGTGGGCCTCCGAGCTCCGGCGCGGCCGGCGGGTCCGCCTTTCGGGACACCGAACGGGTGAAGCCGCCACGGTTCTACTGGGAAAAACAGAACTGCAACACGCTCAGAGAAGTCTCTTAGCAGAAGAGAATCTCGGTCCCCAGAGACTTTGGGTTTGAGAGAAATCTTTGACCCCAGTCTTGAACACACAGAACCATCAGGCCATTTGCTATTAGTGCCCGACATGCTGAAGACAGCGCATGGGAAGTGACAACGTGGTGAGTTTGAAGCGACAAAGCGACGGGTTTTAAAACCCAAACATGATCTGGGGACGTCTCCTGGTTGAGACGGGCACGGACAGAAAAAAAGCTAACATTGCTACAGAAGGGCCAGTTGACCTCCAACGTGTGTGAAGGGCTCTGCCCAGGGAGGAACGGGTTTCTTCTAAGCCTGGGTCTTCCGGGCTGGGACAGGCCCGAGACTGACACCACAGCCTCTCGCCGGGACCCACGGGCGGAGTCCACTCCTGCTGCTCAGCTGTTCAGCACTTGGTGTGACAGAGCGCTGATGCTAACCCAGAAGCCCTCTGGGAGGACCCGGGTGAGGGCTGGGTTTGTAGGAGGCAGTGGGGCCCCGGGAGGAGGGATATTCGGGATGCAGGGCAGGCTCTGCCAGACAGGCTGAGGGGCATCGGGCCGGTCACGCCCCCGGCCGGTTTCACATGCCTGAGTGAGTGGGGAGGGTTTGCCCCTATTCTGAGGCCCTTGGTGGAGAAGGGGCGAGTCCTGACCCCACGTGTCCACTACGCTGGCTTCTAAGGCAGCTACAGGCAGAGGACCGAAGTCCAATCTGCTGGAGTAGCAAGGGGTCACGACAGCATGGAATTCACAGGCCTTCGTGTAAAGCGAAGGCCCTGTAAGAATACAGGCTTTTATCTGAAAGTACAGCTGCACAGAAGTAAGCGAATATACTTTCTTCTGTCACAAGAGCGTGGTCAGTGAACACCTGCGGCCACTGAAACTTCTGTACTTGTCAGGGACTCCCAGGTCAGAGCTGGAGGGCAGAGTCTATGCCCTCACCTTCTCTTCCTTAGCACAGTGCGAGTGTAGAATAGGTGGGAAAACGGGGTCCTGAAGGTTATCTACGCACAGCTTTCCAGAGATCTTGGCTAATTCCTGAGAAATGTAATTTACGTGGGCATTAGCTTGAACTTCTTAGAAAACGGTAAAGTCAACGTCAGACACTATATTCCTTTTGGGTAATAGTCTTCGGCTTGAATGGAAGTTAAGCAAATGCACTGAACGTTGTATGACTGTGAATCAGAGGGCAGGGAGGCACGCTTCTGAGGGCCGCTCAAGCGGCGTCATGCAGGGGCCCTGGCACACCCCGTGGGTCTGGATAAATGTGTGTGAGTGATCGTCAGTGCTGGGGGACCACTGCTTCGGGTGACTGAAAATGGGGAACCCGTTTGGGAAAATGAACCTCAGGTAGTCTTCAGCTCTGCTAAAACGAGTCCATATGCAGGATAAAAGATTCTCTTTTATATATCTAATATAAAAAGTAGATCTTTATGTATCTAACAACTTGTAAAACTAGAAGAAAACACCTAGAAAAGTTCTCCATTTCTACTCACTTTCCTATTGTGTAGGTTCAATTGGAAGGTAACAGAGCCAACAAGGAGACCTCCATGGGTTAGAATGTTCTCTTAGTTTATGGCTACTGCTGGTAGCTAAGTTTGGTTTTCTTTTATTAATCTTAGAAATTCCCTGACAGACTCCAAAATGTACACTGAAAGCTGGAAGAGTGGGGCCTTCGGAATTTAGCAGAGATTTCCAAGTGCACGTTATGGGGTAGGGTGGCCTGGTAGGGAGGTCTTTCAATTGTCTGATTCAGAACAGAAGTCACTTTCTCAGGGGGCCTTCCCCGGATACCGCCAGCCAAAGTAGCCTTTCCCCCACTGCCCCATGTCCCTGTCATTTTTTCCATAGCACGAATCAACCTGAACGTCTTCTGTTCTGTATTCACTCAAACACTTACTGAAGGATTAAATCTTCCCATTCACTGTCCAGCCCCTACCCTGCAGGGACCACTGTGGCAGTGCAGCCTTAAAGTCCACCTCACAGACGTGCCCGAGGCGAGGGGCCTGGCGAGGTGTCAAAGGCCACTTGAAGTGACTCACGCATGAAGCTAACCAGGCTTCTCCCCGTGTGTGGTTCTTGTAGGAAGAGCTGAGGCAGTTTCCTTCCTTTGCTAACCCTGCCCCACCCATGCCCACTATGCTCTGACCGTCCCAGGGCCCAGGTTACACCCAAACTTTGCTGTCTCTACAACCTGAGCAGCCCAGAAAGGGCTGTGTTTTAGCAAACAGCCGAGTTTCTGATGTCTGCACGGCTAAAGTGAGCCACTCCTTTGTGGTTATCGCTGCTTGAATTACCTGCGGGGCTCATGTGTACCTGGGGGCTGCCCCCGGCATCATTTTTCAGGTAGGGCAGAGTATGGTGACAACTGTAAATTCTGCCAAGGAAGAGAGTTATCCTCTTTGTCCCGGTAAAGTGGCAGCCAACTGCCGACAGTTTTCTCCCCACCATTTCTAGAAGACAGGGGTCATTTGTAAAGTTTTGCAGGGGGGCGGGCAGCGCTGAGAGGTGAGGAATCACCGTCTCGGCACCTCCTTTCCCGGCCCCTCCCCGAGGTCCTCTGTGATCATAAGGCACAGTTTATGCCAACACTTACTGAAGCTGCTCCCATCACCTTGTCATCACGGGAGAAAATGAAGCGGGTCAGACAGACGCGCAGCGGGGAAGGGCAGGAAGTGTGGGCGGCTGCCTGGGCGCCGTGGGCACTGCCTGGACCCTCCCACATCAGGGCCAAAGACGGCAGGCTTGGTGCCACCTGCGCGGGTGCTAAACGGATCACGACTTCACTGACTGGGCGACACCGTGCACCGGAAAGGTTACCGAATACACTGGCGCTTGAGGGAAAAGGGGACTCTTGAACTTCCCCCAAGCAGAGTGTAACCAGCACCCTCTGGGAGGGGTGTCTGCGTGTGTGTGGACATGTGCGTGTGCAAATAACCCCAAGTGCTCCTCCTATAGAGAAGCCTGGATGTTGTAACCACAATTTCCTTTTTTTTTTTTTTTTTTCCTGTTTGATTTCTATATGAAATTGTGACTGAGTAACGAACTTTAGAACCACATAAATCTGTTTAGGGGAGAAGCAGAAGAATGACAGCATTGCTCTTTCTAAACATCTGAGTCTAGCTTTCTGCTCAGGTAACCAGTGACAACACATCCTGTGATCACAGTGTGACTCTGCCGGGCGTCCTTAGCAGTAACCCAAGTGTGTCACTGAGGAACGGAGGCCACTTCCTGCCCGACAAGCACCACACACTGCTCGCCGGCTGCGGAGGCCACCGATGGGGCACCAGTAATGAATGGTAAGAGGAGTCTTTGGTTGCTTTTTCTTTTAAACCCATATTTTATCAGCAGCAGAGAGAGAACAGAGAAGGGAGGGGATCGGTGCCCCACGAACTCTGGCAAGGAGCCCGCTACCTGGTAGAGGAGTGCTCACGATCGGTGCACCTGTCATGAACGCCGATGTGTGGCCCTGGGACCTGCGGCATGGTATTCTGAAGTCTGAAAAGCCCGCTGTGGCCCTGGGCCTCTCCAGGTCCCCGCTGGGCCCCTTTCAAGTACAGGGGCAGGAAAAGTTGGGTTTGGGAGAGGGAGAGGCAGCCTGAAGGAGACCCGGTTTTTCCCTGATGGTGCAGCTGACACCTTCCAGGCAGAACGTGCCCTGGAGGCCCTCGGGCCCTCCCTCCCGGGCCCGCCCCGGCCTCAGGGTGGCCCGGAACTCAGGCTGCTACGGGGCCCTCCTGCACCTGCCTCCACCTCTCCGGCCCCTCCGCACTCTGAGTCTGCGCTATGGCTTATTCCTGATGGAATGCGTTTTGTCTCAAAGGAACTTGGAGTTGTACATCCTTGTGTACTGGTTGTTTGGGTCAGCCAGGCCCTTCCCCGCCGGCTCACTGTGGGCACCGGCTCCCGCGCTCCCCCGCGGGGCTTAGGGAAGAGCCGGTTTGGGCTGAGCTCAGCGCTGAGCCCACAGACGCTGGATGCATAATCTCGGGGCAAATCCAAATGATTCAAGTCAGAGATTTAGAGTTAATCTTCCATTATCGTTTGCTCCTTTCCAAGACCTTAACTAATGTGCGCTTAGGTCGGGGTTCGGCTGTGGGGGCAGTGTCTCCACACTCGTATTCAGAGGGGCGGGAAGTGAACCCAGCAGTGCGCGGGTTCCTAACGGCATCTTTGGCTCTGACCTGACAGTCTATGTCCTGATCTACTGCACACCCAGTCACCTGGAGTGCTCAAAGTTTTTTGGTGTTTCTGTGAAACACTGAATATCGGGTGAGTTTGAAATGCGTTTGACCCAGGAATCAACCCAATATGGTCATTTTGATGAATGAGAATGTACCAAAGGTGACATGGACAGGAAAACATTGCTGTTCGTATTCTGGAAATACTTTTCAGACAAAAGTAATGACAGTTCATTTTCACAAATTGCACACGGGGTGAAATCATACAGTTACGGCAGGGAACTTGTAAGCAAGCAACTCGGTCATAGGGACTTGTTCCTTTGTTTTGTTCTAGGTGAAAAAGCGGTATGAAATGCATAGCTCTGATTAAAACGATAGAGACAATTTTCTTCTCTTGTAAAACTCCAGATTTAGGTTGCTGGCGAAAGGCAGTGCTGGCAAAGTATTTAATGCACGTGGAAATGCTATTCTATTTTGGCTTCCAGAAGTAGCCCTAGAAAATTCTATGCACCAATGCATTGGCTAATAGTGATCATTTCAGTTTGACTATAAATTATTCTAAATGTCACTTAAGTACTCAAGAATTAGCGTTCGCTCCTTTCTAGAAGCCGTCTAAGGCAGCGGATGCGTAAAGCACCTCGACTAGACTTTCAACTAGTTCAGCGGTTCAATCTGTGCTCCTTGGGCCACGAGGGTCTCCATCCCTCGCTGTACAGCTCCTCCCACCGGGAACCTCTCGCGTTCAGCTCCGCCTCGTGAAAGGCAGCCCAGAGCAGGGAGCGGGGCGTGGGGCACACGGCCGTCGGGGACTGTTCATGGAGCCACCTCGGCAATAAGGAGGGCTGCGTGGGTTTGGGGGCCACGGCGCCCCGCCTCACGGAAGATAAATGCGCTGCGTTCGTGCTGCCAAGTCAGGGACTATCCCCTCTGCCACCTCCGAGTACGTGCTTTGTTTGCCATGTGATCTACTGCTCTGTCGTTCAGGGTTTTCATTCACACTACGTTAACTTTCACCTCAATCCTCTCAGCCTTCAGGTAATTTGCTTATTGTGTTTCCCTAGTTTTCACTGAACACACAGTGCAAACAAAGGCAAAGACCGAAGCAATCGTTTCAAACACAAGAGCTCACACTAAAAACACACATGAGCATCAAAGAGCAGAACGTGGGTCTGCGCCTGTCTTTATTCTGGGGAGGAGGAGTCCTCCTCGTCCTCGTCCTCGTCCTCGTCGTTGAGGGAACAGGGGGTCTCGCCTCGGGACTCAGAGCAGTGGGAGGCCGCACTGCCGGACCGGTGAGTGTCTGCGGCCAGGAGCCGCCCCGTTGCTAAGGCCACTTCAGCATCCAAGCACAACCCTTGGTTTGCACTAGCAAACAATTGAAAACACACAGGCTCATTAACGTGGTGGATGTCTCAAGCTTTGGAGAACACAGGGAAAAGAACCCGGGGAAGGGGGGAGCCGCAGGCCAGCCCTGCCGGAGCCGCCTGGGACCCGGCCGGCCGGCGCAGCACGCTGGCTCTCCCCTCCAGGGAGGGTCAGGGCTTCGCGGCTCGCCCTTCTCACCCTGAAAAAATACGTACCTTGATTGGGACAAGGTGGCACCAGCGGTCAGGTCTAAGTTTGAAACTGACTGGGTAGAGTTCAAAAGCAGTCCCTGATTTAACCACGACGGTCCTGTGGAGATATCTACAGGGAAAAACAAAAACAGATGGCAGCTCTGTAAGTTCCGTGGCTGCTTTTGTTATGGCGTGAAGAAAACACAGACAAGTAAGGCCATTGGCCTGTTCTGAATTACAGCCGGACGAGTCTCCTGCCCAGGGAAGAACCCAGGTTTCTTCAGCTTGGAAAACAGAACATAAGAGCGGTGTGGGGTGGGGATACAGGAAAGCAGACTACAGCAGGAAAGAATTCAAATTAAACCAATCACAGACTCTTCATTCTTTCTTCTTACAGAAGACCTCGAGAGGGCAGCTCACGCAGTACAGTGAGAGCTGTAGTACTCCTGGACACCCGCCGGGCTCAGCACAAAAGCCTCTGGCCGGGGTGTTAACAAGCTGAGCACGAGTGGGTGCAGACAAAGTCAAGTCGCAGTGTCTTAGGCCAGAAGGACACATTTTTGCCCAAGGCCCCCAGCACGCCGTCCTTTCGTGTCCCCTGGTGAACTCAGTGCTATTAGGCACTAGAGGCCTAGTCTTCTTCCTGGTACCCTCTGCTTTACAACTTGAACTAGACCTTATTTTAAAAGGCCACGCACAGTCGCTTTTTTCATGAGGGCGAGACAGGCGTTGCTGTTTTAGTCTGTATGAAACATTTTGGCTACGTCCTTGCAATCTCATTTTCTATGCATTTACCATAGTTTTCCTATCACGACCTTGACCAATTCTTATTGTACTTCGACTTGTTTAACGCTTGTCTCCTTATCTAGAATGTTAGCTCAGAGAAGGCAGTGACTGGAACATCTGAGATCTAACTGTTACCGCAAGAAGGAGTACCATCTCTTTCAACGGTGAGTTTACAACACAGGTGGTAGGTATAGCAGAAATGCATTCCTAAAAAAGAAACTTATTTGACTTACGTTGTGAGATAAGACCAAGTGTATGCTGAGAAAGTGTAATTTGCCAAATGAGCTTTTATTATACTTAACCAAGATAGTTTTATAATCACTGTGCAAAAAGGAAAAGAAACTGTGTACTGGGATTGGAAACTCCACTATCCTGGCACTACCTGACCAAGTGAGAGGCTTCCCACGTAGGAAAAAAGTAAACTAAATGACTACATTCATCTTAAAATGGCCTTGTGGATCTTTTCTTCCCAGGCGAACTAAGGCAGCTGTGGGGGAAAAAACAACAACAAAAACCCTTCAATTCTAAGAAGAAGAGTAGACTTTAAACACATCCAATAAGAACAAGTCCGTACATAATGAAATTAAAGCCAGAATCCTGTGCTAAGTGTTATCAATTAGTACGTATGGAAACCTTCTGCCAGAACACAGCTCTTGACACATTTTCTTTTCACAATGGCTCTGAAAAGCCAACATTTCTTTCTTTCCTAGGACCCACACAACGGTTCTCACAACCCTCCTCAAGAGCCACCCTGTCCCTCCACATACTGAAGGCACACACGCTTCTGCTTCTGAACTAACCTGAAAGTCTGTATCCCGGTCTGCAAACAAGGTCACGAAGAGATCAAAGCCACAGAGCCCGCCTAATCGCCCTGAGTCTTTTCACTGAGAATGAGCTAAAATAAAGTCCTGGAGATTTATGGAGTAAGAGCTTTATGCAGACCCTGCTGGACGGCTAGGATGCCTGAGCTGCTAATAAAACAGGAGGTCCTTCTCTGGGGGGAGCGAGGGGAGCTCCCTCGGGGTGAGGATGCAGGTCGGGGTGAGGATGGGGGACTGGGTCGCTGAGGGGCAAGAAGAGGGGGTCCCATTTGCAGGAGGCGGGCGGTGCTAACTTAAAAACTAAATCCAACAGAAACCAAATCTCCATCAACAGACTCTTGTGACTAAAGGGCCAAAACCATAAAACAAAATAAAAACAACCTCTTTGCTTATATTTGACTTAATATACTTTAGAATTTCTCATCATGTTTTAAAGGCATTTTAATATTAGTTCTAGGTAGTAATGCTTATAAATGAAGGAAACTGGCAAAGGCAAAAGAATGCTTTTGTCTATACATCCAAATTATATGTGCAGAATGTACCACAGTCTTAGGAACTAGGACAGTCATAAAGAAGATTTCTGAGTTAGTGAAAATCTGAAATTTAGAACATGCAAAACAGTGTTTCCATTTTCAAGTACAGTCACTATACTCTTAAAACACCCCAATTTAAAAATGGGCAAAGGATCTGAATAGACATTTCTACAAGGAAGATATACAAATCGCCAGTAAACACATGAAAAGATGCTCACCATCATCCGTCATGAGGAAAATGCAAATTGAAACCACCGTGAAACACCACTTCACATCCACCAGGATGGTTGCGATAAAAAAGATGAACAAGCGTGGAGAAGGATATGGAGAAATCAGAACCTGGTACATTGCTGGTAGGATTGTAAAACAGTACAACTGCTCTGGAAAATAGTTTGGCAGTTCCTCAGAATGTTAAATACAGTTTATCATATGACCCAGCAATTCCACTGCCTGGCATACACCCAACAGAACCAAAAGCTTATGTTCATAAAAAAACATGTACAAGAATGTTTATAGCAACATCATTCATAATAGCTAAAAACCGAAAACAATCCCAATGTCCTCCAACTAACAAATGGATTAAAAAAATGTGGTATATCCACAAAACAATTAAACAATTGTTTAATTAAACAATTAAACAATTAAACAATTTTATTGCACAAAGGCAATAAAAAGGGATGAAGCAGGATGGATGAATCTTGAAAACATTACATTAAGTAAAACAAGTCAGTCACCAAGGCTACATATTATATGATTCCATTTACATGAGAGGTCCAGAATGGACAAATTCACAGTGACAGGAAGTAGATCAGTGGTTGCCAGGAGCCGGGAGGAAAGGAGGAATAAAGGGTGACTGCTAGTGTATGTGGGGTTTCTTTTTGGGGTGATAAGACGTTTTAGAATGAGATAATAGTTGGTGATGACTGCATAATAACCCTGTAAATATACTTAAAACCACTGAATTGTACACTTTAAAATGTATTTTGGGCTTCCCTGGTAGCGCAGTGGTTAAGAATCCACCTGCCAATGCAGGGGACACGGGTTCAAGCCCTGGTCTGGGAAGATCCCGCATGCCGTGGAGCAACTAAGCCTGCACACCACAACTACTGAGCCTGTGAGCCACGACTACTGAGCCCGCGCGCCTGGAGCCCGTGCTCCGCAACAAGAGAAGCCACCGCAATGAGAAGTCCACACACAGCAACAAAGAGTAGCCCTGCTAGCCGCAACCAGAGAAAGCCCGCGCGCAGCACCAGAGACCCAATGCAGCCAAAAATAAATAACTTTTTGAAAAAAATGGTGTATTAATGGTACATGAATTAAATCTCAATTTTAAAAAATTACAATACCATTTCACATCCACCTGCCTGGGAAGATAAAACTCTTTCACTCTGCAGGTGAGAATGTAACTTGGCAAAATCAAATTGGAAAGCTGTGGCATCATCTAGTAACTTAATTAAGATGCACCCGACTCTGACCCAGCAATCTCACTCTATACACTTGCACACGGTCACCGGGATACAGTTACGGGGATGTTCGAAGCAGCACTGTTTAAATATCAAGAGACTGGAAACAAACTAAAGGTTTATGATCAGTAAAATGAACAAATAAATTGTGCTTTACCCACATACTAGAATTCTATGCATATAAGAATTCTATGTAAAAATGCATCAATTACAGCTATATGAAACCATGTGGACAAATCTAAAGAACATGATGTTGAGTGAAAAAATTCAAATCACAAAAGAATATATCACTATGATTCTATTTATGTAAAGGTGAGAATTAGGCAAAACTAATAAACTGTTTCCAGCTTACTATATTTGTTTGTGTTTGTGTCTCTAAAGAAAAGCACGTAGTGATAAACAAGAAATTCAAGAGAGAGGTTACATTTTAGGGTAGGGAAGGGCACAGAACTGAGGAAGGGCATACAGTGTGGGCTTTAATTTTCTATGAGAAAGGTTTTAGCAAGTTAGGGTCTGACATTTAATCAAGGACAACACTGAAAAAGCATGAGTTAACATACCTGTGACATAACCTTCTAAAGCCTTTGGCACCAGTGATTTAGCAAGTTTCAGATCCTCCAAGGAGCATTTGCCTGACTCCAGGCCAAAGGACATTCCCATCCGCTTCAGCACTTCTATGTCATCATGAATCTCAAAGGTATTGTCAAAATTAAAAAGATATTCAAACCTGCATCAGGAAACAAAGTTAGTGTGGGGTTTTCTGCGGTACTGGGGAGGTCTGAATAGTTTTGTACTCTGCATATTCAATAAAAGAATGAGGACCTAAGCTCAGCTACAGTACTAGAAATTGTTACCGTTTAGGGCAATGAGTCATTCTGCTGGGTTCAGAAGAATGACATCGCAAATAAACCACTTGCCAATTAAAACACCTTTCTTGTGACAGACAACAGGAGTCCATAAATTTCAGCCCTCATTAAGCTGTGGCAAACTGGAGACAGAAATTTTGGTCTAAATCTAATACTTTTCAAAGCTGTCTATAACTTTGTCACAAAAGATAAAATATTAAGGAAGCCTTCCCATGTAGGCATTTTTCCAAAGTAGATATACAGGTGGCCAAAAGACACATGAAAAGATGCTCAACATCGCTAATCGTCAGGGAAATGCAAATCAAAACCACAATAAGATGTCACCTCACACCTGTCAGAATGGCCATCATCAAAAAGACAACAAATAACAAATGCTGGAGAGGGTGTGGAGAAAAGGGAACCCTTGTGCACTGCTGCTGGGAGTGTAAACTGGTGCAGCCACTATGGAAAATAGTATGGAGGTTTCCTCAAAAAATTAAAAATAGAACTACCATACTATCTAGCAATTCCACTTCTAGGTATTTACCTGAAGAAAACAAAAACACTAATTCAGAAACATAAAGTGCACACCCAATGTTCACTGAAGCATTATTTACAATAGCCATGATATGGAAGCAACTGAAGTGTCCACCAATAGATGAACGAAAAAAGATGTGGTATGTACACACACACACAAACAGAGGAATATTCCTAGTCGGCCATTAAAAAAAAAAAAAACTTGCTGTTTGCGACAACATGGATAGATCTAGAGGGTATTACGCTAAATGAGATAAGACAGGCAGAGAAAGACAAATATCATATGATCTCACTTATATGTGGAATCTAAAAAATGAAACAAATAAAAATAGATTCATAGAGAACAAATGGGTGGTCAGTTGCCAGATGGGAGGGGCTGAAGGTGGTGGGTGAAATAGTGAAGGGGATTAAAAGGTACAAACCTCCAATTATAAAATAAGCCACAGGGATATAATATATACCATAAGGAATATAGTCAATAATACTGTAATAAGTTTGTACGGGGAAAGATGTTACTAGACTTATCACGGTGATCATTTTGTAATGGATGCAAGTGTAAAATCCCTATGTTGTACACCTGAAACTAACATAACATTGTATGTCAACTATACTTCAATAAAAACAAATAAAGCAAGCAGTCATTAACAAAAAAATAACGCAAAGAAAGCCTTTCCAATTTAATATCTAACTTTCCTACTATGAGTTGGCCTAACTAGGGTTGAGGAAAAAGCATGTTGGATGCTTACTTCATTTTCATGAGTCAAGTGTTAGCTACACGATACCTTAGATGAGCAGAAAATGGAAGACTTTTCATAAACTAACCAACCCCCAAATCCTGTCTTGAGGGCCTAAGGGGTAAAAACGCCGCAAGAAAAAAGTGTCGTATATAACACATAGCACATTTCCGAACGTTTCTGTAAAATACCAAATCAGGATGCCCAGCTACCTGGCACAGGCTTTCAATAAAGAGGTGACTGTAAGAAGAAACAGTCCATCTGACTCCAAGGCTATGCCCTGGGGCACCATCACCCAGAGCCTCAGCGCCTCAGGGACAGGGTGCAGGCGAAGTTCTGGGACAGTGGTGGGCTTACGTTGTCATGAAATCCTATTAAAGTCACGCAAGGGTAAAACTTTTTATGCTAGATCTTAAGGGCAAAATTTATAATTTAAAGCAAAATGCCACATTTAAGTAATTTGAAGTATATGAATTTAAATAAGTACATTAACAGAAATTCAGAAAAAAAAGAAACCACACAAAATCTGGAGTGGATGCCTGCCCCAGGGGTGACTTCAGGCATACGTTAAAAGCTGAAGGTTTCGTAAATGTAATCATCATTGTGGGAAAGCCTCCTGGCTAAGGGGAAAGGATTGCATCACCAAAGTTACTGAAAGACCAGGCTTTTGCACCCCGCCTTGAACAACAAGCTCCTACAAGCAGCTCAGAGCCTCCTTCCCTCCACTCAGGGGAGGGTGAGGAAAGGGCACGAGTCAGTAACCACCCAAGAAGGACAAGAATCCCTAATTCCCTTAGGTCTCTGGTCCCCACACTTTCCTGCTACTCTTTTAGACCTCAAAGATTAACCAAAGAAGAGAATTTTAATGATTTCCCACAAAACAGACTAACTAGAGAGAATAACTAGAATTCTAACAGTTTTTCCCAAAAATATGTTAAACCATTCTCTAGAATTCTCAGATTTATGAGAATATGTGACAAGTCCTTGTAGACACATGTTTCTGTAAAGAATTTTAAGTGTGTGAATAATAATACATCTACCATTTGGGCTGGTCCTTTATGAATTTAACGTCTGTAAACCAGCAAGTTAAATACTATAATTCTCGTTTTTACAGAGGAAGAAATGAGATCTCAGAGAAGTTAAGAAACTACACAACTAGAGGAAAGATTGAAAAATGCATCTTCTGACATCACAGCCTGCACGGTCCCTACTATTTCTACCTGTGTCTATAGGCTTAATTACCAAATACTCGAGAAATCCCTGTTGTTTCTCTTACTCTTCTTCTTCTTTTTTCTGGTTCCTTCTTATTTAAGTGACCCATAATCTCTGCATGCAATCAAGACAGGGAAGCAACACTGCCAGAGAAAAGAGTGGGAAAAACCAGGAGTGGTAAAGCCCCACGGTGATGCAGTAGCTCTAAGAGGCTAGAAGTTCCAGTTCCCAGGACAGTCCTAGGCTATGCCTCTGGCACTGATGTGGTTACTGAGCCCTCTTTTGCCCTCAAACGTGTCCCAAGTTTGGATGATAAGTTATATGCTGACTCCTTGGAAAAGTAGCTAATGTTTACAAAGCACTTTCCACGAGTCAGACCTCTAAGAGGCATAATCTTATTTAATCCTCACAACAAGGCTAAGGAAGTGACAGAGGCCCTGGCATCATCCCCATCTGTTCTTTGGACACAGAGCTTTTGAAGCAGTTAAATGCGGGAGCACTTGTGTCTGCCTCACTCTGCACCCTATGCCCTTAACGACCTCGATACTGGTCACAGCCTGAAGACCACTACTGTTTTCATGAAGGGTAAAATAAGTTACAAATAAATTCTGTATTTTGAAAACTGCTATTTCTCACTTACTGTGATAAATATTGCCATCAATCTTAAAGTGACAAACATGCTGGTGGGAATGTAAACTGGTGCAGCCACTGGAAAACAGCATGGAGGTTTCTCAAAAAATTAAAAATAGAACTATCACATGATCCAGCAATCCCACTTCTGGGTATACGTCTAAAGGAAATGAAATAACTATCCTGAAAAGATATCTGTACTCCCATGTTCACTGATTGCAGCATGATTTATAAGAGCCGAGGCATGGAAACAACCTGTGTCCATCATCGGATGGGTGGATAAAGAAAATGTGGTGTACTTAGAAAATGGAATATTCAGCCATAAAAAAAAGGAAATTCTGCCACTTGCAATAACACGGATGACGGACCTTATATGTGGATCTTAAAAACCAAACTTATAGATGCAGAGAACAGACTGGTGGTTGCCAGAGGGTGGGGGTGAGTAAAATGAATGAAGGTCATAAAAAGCACAAACTTCAAGTTATAAGATAATAGGAAAGCAAGCAAGCAGAGAATGCCATCTAACACTTTCATGTCTATTCATTCATTATAAACAGAAGCACACTCAAATACGATATAGCAAAACAAACAACTGCTTTAGTGCCACATGTTGATCTCAACTATTTCCACC